ATTATTCGCCCAGTTCACAATGCAATCATGTCGACCGGGAGGGAATATGGCAGAAGGAAGGTTGCTCTAACCGCCGTAAATGTAAGTTTTCTGTTTGGAAAGTATTCAATGCTTTGGGGCATATAATTTAAGTGAATTATGCTACTTATGGTTGTATTTTTAATTTACTTTGTCAATTTACTTAAAGTCATCATACAAAAAAATTAAACTCAAGTTTACTTTGACCTTTCTCAAAGTGTACACATTGAGGATTTTTTGTATTGATTTAAGTCCATTTTCGGCAAACTAGTTATCACTGTTTAATCTACAGTTGGTATTATCTCTTGGAGTAAAAGCTAGAGAACTAGAGTTAGCTATTTTGAGGCATAAAAATACTCCTCGAAAATATCTATTGATACAGGATTTGCGAATAGTATCTTCGATCATAGTCTATCTGATAGTTGGTTGCTTGAGCTAGACACTTACATTCGCAAGTATATCATTTTAAGCCTTAAGAATAATTTTCATACATGAAGCCCACAATCACCCTTGTTGTGATCTATAATCCAGTCAAATGATATTTCCTACTGCATATTATCTCCTAATGGTTTTTGCTTTAAAAGGGACGTTGAATCTGTCAGAGAATCTTTTCCTGAAATCGTGATGATAGCATGATCAAATTGGGCTTTATGCAACTATATTTATTTCTCGCTTCGCTTTGAGGGTGCTTATAAAACCCAGGCGAAGTCGCAACTGCAGACGATCCTGGATATTAATACATTTTAGAGGGAAGGCTAAGTCTGATAAAATGGCATCGTGAGGCTTAGTCACACAATTTTACGAGGATTATATTTTCCATTATTAATCACTCAATGTGACAATTTTATTTATGCCATTATATTTTATATATTCACTATGTATTGTAAATGTTGCTAGTTATTCTTTCGGTTGTAAAATAATATGGGCATATATTGCGTTTAATTTAATTATTGCTTTATAAATCAATAGCGCTTGGAGATAGTTGCATACAAGTTAGCACGCATGCTCTTGCATAATTCCCATCATCAGACATTGGAATTGGTATATTCTCAAGCGTTTCGCCGGCATCATAGTCGGCATCATCAGTGAGTGTTGCCATTTTCCGCAACAAGGTTCGAACTCGTCAGAGACAAGTGAAGTCAATCCTTCCTCCAACGTTCCGCCGTAAACGGTTACACTATCACTCATCTTTCTGCCCTTGCCCATCTATCACCTCATAACCCTCTTATCCAACTTCCGGCCCATTACAACTTTTCACTTGCCTGCATTCTACTCTTCAAAATGTGTGTCCTTTTGTGGCAAATTTAGTGTGGCCTCATCACGCCTGCTATTCACCCCGACCCCTTCTCTTTGGATCTGCTAATACGACTCGGGCCTCCGATTCGGATCTGCGTCATGGTCTCGTAGAACCTTTCTTTATCCTTCTGGTTGACCGATTTCACTCGGTTCAGGTCTTAGTGTGCGTTTTACTCAGGACGCTATTTCTCAAGGCCTTACAAACACGTTCAGTTCCCCGTCATCGAGCAGAGCGCATAGACTGTGACTCCCATGCTTGAAGGTATCAGGCATCCTCTTCACGGGTAGTCTCCCTGATTAAACCCGTGTTAGCCTAGCAAATTGCTGACGCCCATCTCTGGTCGCATGCTGAATCTGGAATGGAATTAGTTCCATCTCCATTTCCAATTTTGTTTCATCAGGGAACTTGTCGAAGATATTGATAACCTGTAAGAGGATGTCTCCTAGTAGGCTTCTGTTATGGTGAATTGAAAAATAGAGTTATTTTTTCAGAAACGCGGTTGTTTAGGGATTGAGTGAAATTGATGATAAGTTTAATAACTTCTTCCTATCGCTGTTCTGATCAGTAGGTGTTGTCACTTCGGAAGCCACTTCAACTGGGTGTACTGGCCTTAACTTAGGCTGTCTTATAATGCCAAACTTACCCTATTTATCCTCATGCCGTTTTGTTATTAAGTCATAAATCCTTTGTGATTTCCTGCCGGTCATATTCTGAAATTTTTGAAAGTATTCCGCAGACTGGATTTTGGCCAGATCACGCCGGAGCTTTGACTTACTATCTATAGACTTAGACAGCTTATTTCTCTCTGTAACGGCATGACGATAACTTACGTAAGTTTAGGATTATGAGACTGTAGAGGAAGGTGAGCGATTAACGTTCCTGGATGTTGAAGTGATTCGTTCTAATGGAGCGCTGAAAAAGAAAAAGTTTAGAAAGAGGTCCTATTTTGGGATAATACTCAATTTTTGCTCCCATCACAATTACAGGCTAAAGATTGGAATAATGAGGATCATGATCATCCGAAGCCTACGCCTGACGGATGCAGATTTCTGGGACGAGGAGCTGGACAAATCGACTAGGATATTTCTCAGTAATGGCTACCCTAGCGAAGTGATACAAAGAAAAATACCGGCCGTGAAAAGGCGCTGGCAGAACAGGGACTATGAAAGAACAGTAAGTATGGAGAAAGATTAACAAAAGTGGATAGGCCTACCTTCCTGCGAAAAAACTCAAAAATTATGGCCAATATTAATTAAATGGAATATTCAGGTGGCCATGAAAGAGAAATCAACACCTTTCACAAATCTACCGGAGGCAAATTGAAAGGGTAGATAAATTGCAATGTTCAGGAGTTTACTGTATATCATGCGGCGACTCTAAACAGAAATATATTGGCAAATAAGGAAAAAAATGAGTACACGAATCAAGGAACATCAAAGGCTATGTAGGAAAATTGATACCGAAAGATCAGAATTATTAGAACACATCGCATAGGCTGGAAATGAGATCAATTGGAGGAAAACAGAAATTAGGGCCTCTTATGATTAAAACACAAAGAAACGGAAGGTTGGCATGCTAGGGGAGAAAAATCTAATGAAGAGAAGATGGGAGGAAGGTAGAATTAGCGATAACTTGGCCCACTGCTTAAGCAAATTAGGGGAAAACAAGAATAGATCAAGACCAGAAAAAAGGAGACGCCTGGATCAGCGATCTATCGCTAACCTGAGCAAAAGGGATCGCGATGAGAAAGGCGAGTTTCGGCAATCAAAAGAACACGTCAGTGAGTGAGGTCCGTTCGAATAAACCAGTACAACTTTTGGGGCCTGACAGTCAAGAAGCTAGGCGGACGGATAAACAAACCGTTATGGCTTAAATGTAGTAGAAATACACTTGAGATTCAGCATGTGACCAGAGATTTGCATTCAATGTTTGCTCGGATTACACAGATTTAATCAGGGAGACGACCTGTGAAGGGAATTCCTGATATCTGCATGCATAGGAGTCACAATCTAGGCGCTTTACTCGATGAGGCGGCAGTGTACGTGTTTTTAAGGCCTTGAGAAATAGCTTCTGGAGTAAAACGCACGCTGAGACTTGAACCGAGTGAAATCGGTCAACCAGAAAGATAAGGAACGGTTCTACGAGACCATGACCCAGATCCGAATTGGTGGCCCGAGTCGTATTAGCCGATCCAAAGAGAGGGCGTCGGGGTGAATAGCAGGTGTGATGAGGTCACACTAAATTTTCCACAAAAGGGCATACATTTTGACAAGTGGAATGTAGGCGAGTGAAAAGTTGTAATGGGCTGTAAGTTGTATAAGAGGGTTATGAGGGGATAGATGGGCAAGGGCTGGAAGATGAGTGATAATGTAACCGTTTTCGGCGGAACGTTGGAGGAAGGATTGACTTTACTTGTCTCTTTGGCGAATTCAAATCTTGTTGCGGAGACTGGCAACACTCACTGATGATGCCGACTATGATGCCGGCGTAACGCTTGAGAATGTACCAAGTCCACACTCTGATGATGGGGAATTATGATAACCTCTATGGCAGAGTAATTCGGACTAGGTTCCTTTTACTAAGTCTCCCGGACAAGAAAACCAAGTTGCGACAACGAGATCAACCACTTCTATCAATCGAAAAGAAACTGTGACCATACTGGAGGCCACACCATCTTGTTCTTCATACCTTCAACGTCCCCTTTGGTTTGAATAAAATCTCTCAAGCTGATCATCCATCATAAAATTCTCATTCAATACGAGACTCTTACAGCTGGGAATAGGGAAGGTTGGGTTAGCTGAATCGGCCGCTAGAGACTAGTCAAATATTTAACTTGGCAAACAAGAGCGATTCTTTAAGCGATAATTAGGATGATGCTAAGAGAGATTTAAAACTATCTGTCGGAATATGCAGGAATAAAATCACATCTAATTAAATTATCTCTAATATTTAGCCAGTATAAACTGCTTTTTTATTTAAAATTTTTTAGCAATTTTATATCCGACCTTATAATTAATTAAAGATAATGCGATATACAATACGATGAACTAGCTAAATTGTGTGATTGTGTCGGGCGAAGGGATTGTTTCCATTTGGGGCGACGTAATTCAAGAAATAAACTTCTGCTTGAGCTGAACTTCCGAAATTTTAAGCATTGGTTCCCGTCTGATATTCATTTAGAATTATATTTAGAGAGAAGACACATCCAATGTTGTCTTACACCTTCATTGAATCTGGGCTAACAATTCTTTTCGGGACAAAAACAGTTCTTTACGTTTAAAAGTGTTCTAAGTCCGTTACTCGTAGCAGTATTGAAGTCGACTAATCCGAGAAGCAAATATGCATGTTCTATTCTATTTTTATTTAAATTTTCCCATTTCCACTATCTTTTAAGGCGGTATGAAAAGCAAGAACGAATCAAACTCTGCTTTTTATCGAGCCCGACGACCGTCTCCGCTTTCATCAGATTTCATGAATATCAACGACCCGAACCAGTCCATTACCAAGCATCACTCTATCAGAGGTATCCAGTCGAAAGACTCTTCTTCAGGCCTACAGTCCAGTAAACGGAAGTTCAGCTTCAACAAGGACCCCGAAAGAAGACAAGCACACATGGAAAAGTTGCTGCAGGCAGAAAGACGAAGAAGCTTCACCACTGTTGGGAGTCTCCTGCAGCGTCCGTGCTTGCCTTCTAGCGGCCAGCAGGGAAAAGAAGGAGATGAGATCGTCTACCCGGCAAGTGATCAAGTTAAACATAGGTGGCGACGGCTGATTGCCTGCAGAAACCCAGTCTCAGGAGGCCAGAAACGACTGCCCATGACTTCATGGTGTAACACCGAGAGACTATCTCCAAACGTGAGTATCTGTTGTTGCATCTGATCCCTAATCTTTGCAAGCCTTTGCATTGACTTCAGTCACAGGTATTTAGTTAGGATTTGTATTATCCATATTTAGTTTGAAGGTGATGAAGGACTATTAATTGAATCTGCGTATAAACGAAAAACGAGTACTCAGTATTCCAAGTAAATATTTTGAAGCTATAAGAGTTAGTCACCATGGGCCAGTTAAGACGATTAAAGGAATGATAGCTAAGGTTTTTTTATATACTGAATAAATCTACCTAAATTCTAAGTCCTTATTTGCTTGAGACGCTGTTTTTTATTTGATGATTTTGTCATATTCTGACGTATCATTCATATGCCCTCGTGTCTTATCGCGCATGCAGAAATCAAAGCTTCCCATTAGGAATAAATTTTTATTTTAAATCAAATCTTTTGGCACCAAACTTTCAAGTAATTTACAATAGAACTATTACGATCTTTCATTTTTCTATATATATTCTTGCTCCCCAGTTATGTTGTGTTCTGTTATATAAGACATTTTTAAAGGCCATTCTGTTTGGGGAGAAGAAAGAGTGTTCATTTTTTAGCCACATCCAGAAAGTCAGTAATAGTATAGCGATATTTAATCTTTGCCCTAAAAATACCAGATTTCGGCACCAGATGAAATTATATACTTTTGTTAGCTCCTGTTCTTATGCTTCTGTTTTCTCGTATGTTCAATAAGGCCATAATGCAAATCGAATCAATTTATAACTAAGAACTTAGAAAAATGTAGGAAAAAAAGTGACAGCAGCTCCATATTTCTCCATCCTCAATGCGTAGGATATGCTTATCATTCCATCAGCACCTTATTAGCATCAATATGTATGCCCTTAATGCCAATAAGGGCATGTATCGATGACTATTGATTTGTAAATTAACAGTATTACGTCTGAATGAATTTTATTTTGGCATAAGCATTCCGCTTTTTAGTTTCTTTCTTAACTGTTTTTTTTATTTTCTTAACCCTTTCGCTTTATCTCTGTATAGACCAGCAAGTATGCTTTGCATATTTATGAAATTAAATAATTAATTTTCCATGTAAGTATGCTTCGAAATTACACTTCTTATTCGGGCATTTAAGCCTTATTTCCACCTCAGTATTTAATAATAAATTCAGCCTTATTTCACTCGAGACGAGGGAGAATTTTTCGTGGAATGTGTCGACCTGAATACAACGGGAATCAGCCGTTGTCTTTTGGTGAGATCGACCTTCAAATCTCTTACTCATGCGCTTTAATACTAAATGAAAGTTTCTCCAACAATATTATATTAGGAGATTTATCACTTCGATCCCTTGCGGTTAAGTCGACTATCAGTTTATGCATTAGTCTGCATCGGATGTACATCTTACCACCTTTTTCTTTATTTTATCACTATTTCACACTTTTAGCTTACCCCAGTTGATAACTCGAACCCAAACTCAACGGCAGAAAATAGTGTCAATTGTTTGGATGGCGACTCGAGTGACACAGAACCTGGAAACCAGGTGGAAGAGACGTTCCCCATGCAGGCAGTAAGACAGCCTTTCTTTGAGATTAGCAGTTTAATCTCTCCTGGAAATCATGTATTTTTGGACGATCGACTTGGAAACCCAAGCACAGGGACTATTGCTGACAACTGCATCGAAGAGCCTTTCGATCTAGACCAGCTGCATTCGCCTTCAATTGAGGAGTTAGCCCAAATCGCCATGGGCTTTTCAAGCCCTGTTGAGCTTGCGTTAGAAAATCTTAGTGAAGAGGATCCCTTATCTGGCTCCAGAGATGATACAGAGTCTTTTTCAGACAGTCTTCTAGAGGCCGGATGGCCACAGTCCATGCGGGCTGCGGACGAGTTGGCAAATGGGTGTATAGTCAGCGACCAGGTCACGAGCATCGCTGCCTCCCCCCTGGTAGGGCAGATAGGCGAAGAATCCGAGTCCTACACGTCGCTGAATCGTTCTTCACCGATTGACAATTTGGAAATTTATTTTCACCCTTCCCTTTGTGCCAATCCAACTATATCAACTGCAACGCCCTCCTTTGCTCATTCTAATTCCCTATTCCCTTCAGCCTCTTCTTCCTCCTCTTCATCGTCGTCTACATCCCCCCTCGCTTTTTCCATAGCTTCGACAACGCCACTTATCGTCCCAGCGCAACAGGCTCAGGATACCGCTAGTCCTGACGGCCTTTGTGAGCTTCGATAACAACGATCGTAAGTTGCCTAAGCCTTTAAGAGAGTTTCACCCCTCACCAGACCGTTTA